ATCGGACAGCACGCTGCCGAGCGCAGCCGCCGCCGCCGCGCCGCCGCCGCCGCCGCGCGTCGCCGCCGCCGGAGCGACGAGGGAGCGCGAGAAGGCCGACACGTGCGCGTCGGCGCGCGCGGCCGCCGCTTCGACGACACACGCACGCAGCAGCGCCGGCTTGCGCCTGCGGCGGGGGCGAGGCGGCGCGCCGTCGCGGCCAGGGACCACCGCCAGGGACACAGCGCGGCGGCGGTGGAGCTCTCGAGGACCGGCAGCAGCAGCGCGTGGCGGTGGCGGAGGGGCGCGTGCAGCGGGGGGGGGAGGGCGACGCGGCGGGAGGGGAGGCGCGGCCCTGCCGCTCTGTGTCTCTCTCGGGTCTCTCTCGGGTCTCGCACCGCAGCCGATCGACGCCCCGCCGCAGCCGCGCGATGGCGGGCGCGGCAGCCTGCCTCTGCGCGGCGTGCGGCGGCAAGCGAGGGACCTGGCAGGGTCGCAGCGAGCGGTGGATGTGAGCCACCGAGCGCGGCTGCCGCACTGCCGCTGGTCGCAAGGTGAGGCGGCGTTTGCAGCGGCGGGTGGAGTGCGGTGGAGTGCAGCGGTGTAGCGCAGCGGTGTAGCGCAGCGGTGTAGCGCAGCCCGCTGGGAGGAGGAGGTGAGGCAGCGGAGGAGGCGAGAGGTGTCGGGGCGTTGCGCGCCGCACACCTCTGCGGCGAGCCAGCGGAAGAGGGAGGCGTAGCCCCGCTCCTCGTAGGCGTCCATCCGCGCGCTTGCCTGGCGCCCGAGCTGTGCGAGTGCCCCTCCCTCGAGGTGCCTCGCCCGCTCGCCGACAGAAGCTACGCGGTCGAGCGCGCCCAGCAGCGCGTCGAGGGAGAGGGGCGCGTCCTGCGGCGCGTTGAGCGTCGCCTCGTCCTCCGCCGACAGCTGCAGCGCCTCGGCGAGCGCGCCCGCCAGCCGCTCCTGCTTCTTGGCCTGCGACACCTGCTCCTGCAGCTGCGACGTCTGCGAGAGGAGCACTTCGGTCGCGGCGCGCGTCGTCTGCAGCCGTGCGACGGCGGTGCCGCTCGCCTCGCACAGCGCGTCCAGCTCGCGCTCCGCGCCCTCCAGCTCCGCACGCAGCTCACCACTCGCACCTAGCAGCCGCCGGTCGAGCGCGAGGGCGCGGCCCTCCACCACTGGCCGCAGGCCGCGCCGAGCGCCGGCGGCGAGGGATGAATCGATGGCGGCGAGCGCGCCGAGCGCCTCGAGCACCACAGGAGAGATTGGTGATGCTGCTGTCGCTGCGCGCAGTTTGCGCGTGGTGGCGCTGTTGGCCGACATGTCGTGGCACGGCGCGAGCGAGAGCTCGCTCTCCTCGACCTCGGGCTCGACGAAGTGTCGCGGGTTCCTCGGCGGGCGGAGGCTCTGCTGCTGTGTTAAAGAGAACGGCGGAGAGCCGCCCAGCGGCGCCGGCACGAAAAACGGGAAGAAGATTTCTTTTTATTCGACGTAGAATTCTTTATATTCCCCCCGGAAGTGCGGTAAATGACTGCACTCCAAGTGCTCCAAGTTCCGGAAGGTAGTGCTTGTCGTTCGTCACATGGGCTGCCATCGGCATACACAAGGCGCAAGCTCACTCACCGAGCGGCGGGAGGTGTACGCGACCCAGAAGAATTTCAGAAGACTTTCACCCGTAAGAAATCGGGCCGTGTCGTTCCCTTCGCCGGAGAGAGGTCCCTCAGTTCCCGTTCTCCAGGACCTCCTCTCCAGCTGCGACCGTAGGCAGGCGGATTTATTTTTTCAGTGTACGTAGCTCTTACGAACATACCCGTTTTTGAGCGTTGAGAAGATGTCAGAGGAGACCTCGACAAACCGGACGGACTCAGTCGATTGTACTGCGGTGGTGTGAGTGAATGCACCATGACGCATGAATGAGCAAAACCCTGACGAGGCCTGTACGTGTAGGATTCCTAGATTTTTCCACTCCGGGCCTTTTTCCCGTGCCGCATCTCCCTCGGAACAGTTTTTCTTCTTAATATTGGACTACCGTCACGAATGATCCGTCCTGACCCGATCGCCGATGCATTTTGGATTTCCAAAATCAGCCCCTCTGGGGTAGCAGAGCAGTTTGGCCCCCTAGAACGCTTGTTTTTTTTACGCAAAACACGAGAAGGCGATGGCCGCGGCGCGACAGCTTAGCTCACCTCGCACCGGACCATCTTGTCGTCGCCGCCGCCGCAGAGGCTGGCCTCGCCCTTGCCGTAGATGAGCGCCTCGTAGTCCACGCCGTCCTGCCTTGCCACGCCCTCGAGGTGGAGCTTGAACCAGGCCTGTTCCACAGCCAGCCGCGTGAATAGAACTCTCCCCACTCCTCGCTGTCCGTCCAAACTCGAGCCACGCGCGCCGCGGTGAAGCGCGACAAGTCCATGTGCCCGCCCTCCCAGAGGAGCGGCTCAAAGTGCGTTGCACCCTGCTTGTTGACAAAGCCGCGGTGTGCCGCGGTGCCCTGCCGGCCTGCGGCGTCGTAAAACGCCTCGCTCATGCGCGGCGGCGCCACATAGTCGGCGCTGCCGGTGAAAGCGAGAAAGGGCACCTAGCCCACAGCTGGAGGGGTGAGCAGCGCCGTGTCGCAGATGCCGCAAGAAGAGGAGCGGCGAGGCGCGCCGCCGGCGCGGGCAGCTGGGTCGCCGAGTAGGGGTGCTGCATCACCGCCGCCTGCTCACAGCCAGGCCCGTGAAGAGGCGCCGTTCACAAGACGATCGCGTGCCGCATCGCCGACGCCCGGATGCGGCTCGCCGAGGCGTTGCCGTACGAGGAGGCGAAGAGGGTCGCCTGCTCGGTGCAAGCACGTGGCGTCTCGCGCCCCATCTCGCGCCCCAGGAGCGAGACACGGAGGCTGAGAGAGGGGGGCGCCGCGACGGCGGCCGAGGCGTTTGCGGCGGCGGGTGGAGGTGGAACGGGTGGAGGGCGAGGGCGAGGGGAGGCGAGGGCGGAGGCACGGTGGCAGGTCTGGGCGAGATCAAGACCTGCCCTCCCATCGAGTGGCCCGCCACCCCGTATCCCAACGAGTGGTTGACGGCAGAGAGGGCGCGGTGGGCGGGCCCGCGCGAGCGGCTCTCATTCTGTGCCCACTCGAGCACGCCAATCTGCTGCCGGTAGTAGTCGCCGAAGCAGGGCGGATCACCTTGCGGGCAGAGGCGACCGATCTGGCTCGGGTGGGTGACCTAGAGCCGTAGTGGACTCCCGGCAGGGCCACAGGGAGGCACTCGCCTCGAACCGACTTGCAGTTGCGCTGCTCTTTGCACCCGACGTTGCACGCCCGGGTGGCGGCCACAACGAAGCCGTAGCTCGCGACTGCGCTGAGCGGTATCAGGTACCCTGACCAGTCCACGCCGCCGCCTCCGAAGAGGCCGTGCGCATACGAGATGAGCGGCACGCTCCGGCCGGCAGGGACTGCCGGCGTGTACACATCCACCGTCCGGTCCGAGCAGTCCTGGCTGGCTACGGTGTAGCTCGTGTGAGTGACCTCAAAGGGGCCTGAGTCTGCGCGAGGCAGAGCGGCAGCGATGGTGGCTGCGGAGCCGGAGGCAGTGGCTCGCGGAGCCAGCTTTGCAGCCTCCATGGAGAAGCCAACGTCGGAGAGTGCGAGCTCGCTCGTTGCTGCGGCGACTTGCTTTGACAGCATCGCCAAACTACGTCGGAATGCTGTGAGAAGCTGTAAATCTATGACCTATGACCGCGAACTTTGCGACCTACTACGGGGGGAACAGCCATGTTTGGCAAAAGAATTTGGTGAGGCCTCGGCTGGCGAATAAAAGAGCGAATCAGGGAGAACCGGAGCCCCGGGAAGGCGGGCAGTGGAACCCTGGGACGGGATGCTGAGGGAGGACCTGTGTACGTGCATGGTGTACAGTGTCGTGTCTACTAGCTCCGAGTAGAGGGGGCGTCCTGCAGTTAAGGGGAAACCCGGTACACGGAACCAACCCTCGGAGACCCGTGTTTACTTTACGGCCCTTTCCCTGCGAACGCGCACCCCCAGGGCTAGGGCTCTCTAGCCCGTAACCCGATGCCAATCATCCGGCCCGCTGGGTGCGCTCCTCAGCTCCCCGGCCCTGGATGAGGTTACTGACTGCACTCCAAGTGCTCCAAATGACTAATACATCAAAAGAATTGAAAACGGCATCGTCCGCCCCGCCCGTGCGATTAATTATTTTTCTTTGCCCCGTCGTCCTCTGTCTAGGCCCGCCCGCACGCCCGCGGCCGCAAGCAAGGAAGGCGAGAGAGAGAGAGAGAGAGAGAGAGAGAAGGCGAGCTTCCTGGCGTCCTTGCCAAGCGCCAACATGCCAAAAGACACCTCGCAGCGCCCGAGACGTGACCAAAGCCGCACGTCTCGGCGCCGTGAGAGCAGCCGGTCGACGTCGGCACCAAGCGAGCGGCCGCCGGGCGCCGCCGAACCGACAGGGGCGCCGTGGCAGTAGAGAGCACTCACCGAATACCGTTTTTATGGCGGGGTGACGA